TATTTTATTGTGTTTTTATAGTATTTTTATAGTGTTTTTATTGTATTTTTTTGTGAATTTATTGATATTTTTGATTTATATTTGAGTAAACCTTGTTATTTTTGTCTTCTTGTTTAGTTATTTGATAGTATTTTTATTTTAATTTAGACTTTTTTTTAGTTTTTCTTGTTTAAAACGTTCCTTAACCACTCTTATACATTAAGTTAAATAATATATTTGTTTGACTTAATTGGCGATAACACATTTTATTATTAAAATAGTTAATATTTAATTAAGCTAAGCAAAAACCGAATACTGACAGTAAACCGGACGAGGACTGGGTGTTTGGCAAACACTAATACCAATCAGACTGCCAGACCAGCTGGAGGAAAAAAGATTCATTCAGAATACTAGAGGATGCCCACTAGTCTCTTCTGGGCTATTTGGATTGGGAGTTTGGAGAGCTGTTGGTGACTTGGAAAAGTTGGTGATGGTCTGTAAAGTGGGTACTGAGGTTTGGGTGAATTCTACAAGGGTAGAAGTAGGTAATGGTAGTGGCTTCGGCTCACAAATACTTGTTCTCAGACTCAGCATAAGTTACTGAAGCCTAAGTTAGCCAGATTGTAAGTAGGGAGAATCTAGCAAAGCTGCCATTACACCTATTTGTAAAGACCTATAGACAACCAACAAGGTAATCAGGTCCAGGTAAGATAGTGGAAGGCACTTTGGTATAAAGGTACTTAGCTTAGAATAATTGGTGGATATGTATAACTAGAATTCTCTGTTGTAATACTAAAAATGTAGACTTATATGATCAACAATAAACATCAATAAAGCTTAGTTACAAAGGACACCTTATAAAAAAAAAAAAAAAAAAATTAAGCCAAGCAAGCATATTACATCATAATAAAAAGAAAGTAGGCAATAATTGCATTTCTAAAAAAATTAACTATAAATAACAAGAAAAATCAAAGTAGGTAAGAGACAATTTGCTTTTCTTGGAAAAAAAACAGAGTTTTTATATCTTTTAAACTATTTATTAATAATCTAGTTGTAGATGTAGTGACTTAGTGTAGTTGGTAAATTGTTACACCACCAAGCAGCAGAACAAGAGTTCGAATTCCACTGGTGATAAAATTTGAATTTATAAAATACATTTGGAAGACTGTATTTTATTTGATTAGTATTTATAATAAAGTTGTACTGGTACTGTTGTACTAGGAGGCAGTAAAAATACTATATAATGTATGAGTTGTATAACAGTAAAGCTGTCAGGTAAAACTAGCAGATTGGGATATGGAAGCTTGCTTGGCAAGATCTGAACAAAGAGGCAATACAGATCTTTGATGATATTATCTAATAATCTGAAAAGAGTGAACTAAATAACAGAAAAAAAGTAAACTAAACAGAACTAAAGTATTTAACAAGGCACTTCACCAACCAGATCGCCAGACAAATAACTGAAAGAAAAGGATTCAATTGTAGATACCAGAGGCAGATCACAGCCCTTTCAGGCTATTTGGATTAAAAGTATAAAAATCGAAAGTAGGGCTTAGTTTAGAAAACCAGAAATATAGGTTGTTAAGTGTGTATCAAGATTTAAGTGAACTTTGCAAGAGCACAGAGTAGATAATGGTAGCAACCTCAGCTCACAAATACTTGTTTTCAGACTCAGTATAAGTTATCAAAAATCTAGATGATATATGTGTAGAATATAAACTACTTTAGTAGGTTTATCACAATGTTTTTTTTTTTTTAAATATTAATGATGAGACGTTTACCACAATGTTAAAGGACCCTCTATATAGAAGTATATATCTGTTTTAAAGACTTAATAGGTCTTAGTAGCAGATTCCTCTTTAGGCAAGATATCTGATAACATGAAGTTGATCAGAGAGTTTAATTGAATAACTCAAATAATAGTGGGTTATAAATACAGCATCTAGTATAGAATCTAGTAATAGGTAAACTACTTAATTAAATACTCAAAAAGTGCAGATATAGCTAGAATATACTCTCATTAATATAACAAGATCAGGTACAGTCTGTATGACTGTGCTGGTATCAATCCAAAAGTTTAATAAACCATACTAGACCTGTAAATGATCATTATAAAATTTAAAAAAATAATAATAATAATCTAGCTAACAATTCAGTTAACAATCTAATTAATAACCTAATTAATGATTTAAATAATATATCAAATAATGTTTTAAATAATATATCAAATAATGTTCTAGTTAATATATCTGATAATATCTTAGTTAATGTACTAGATGATATCATAGTTAATATATAGATAACATTCTAGTTAATATACAAATAATATCCCAGTTAATATATCTGTTAACATATCAGATAATGTTTCTAATATTATACTAAAAATTAATGCTATTGTTAAAAAAATAAACTATAATTAAAAATATACATATAATAAATATAAATTATACTAATAAAATATACTATATGTTACTAAATAAAAGCTACCAAAATGTTGAAAAAAATATGAGAATTTTTTTAGGTTAAAGCAAGCAGTAGCTTTTATTTTGGTTTAATTTTACTATTAAAACAAATAACCTTTTTCAAATTCTTGAATCCAAAATCATAAGGTAGCTTTTATTTAGGAGTAGCTTTTATTTAGTAATATATGGTACTAATAAAATATACTAATAAAATATACTAATATAACACTATACTATATAACAATATACTATATAACAATATACAGTATATACTCTTATTAAAATATATATAATACTATTAAAAATTTCATAAAAAACTTTAAACTCAAAATAATTAATAAAAACTCAAAAGCTAAAAAGGTTAATTAAGCTACAAAAAAATACTAATAATAAAAAAAACAAAAATTAAAAAATCTAATAAAAAGATTTATAAAAAATAAATATTTACAATACCAATATTAAAATAAAAGTTTAAAAATATATATATAGCTATAAACAAATATAAACAATATATTGTAAAAACAATAATAGTATAATAAAAAAAAAAAACTAAAAAAAACAAAGATAATAAAAATGCTTATTATAAAAGAAAAAAACCCCTTCTGGCATAAACTATTAACAAGCAATTTACTTCATCTATAGGTGCAATAATATAGCAGATCATATCTAGATACCACACGGATAACCAAATAAGATTGGGCTTTGAGATTAAGAAATTCTAATAATAACAATAATAATATTGTAATATCGAGAATCTTAAAAAATTGATTTATTAACAGTTTTTATAAAAATTAGGTATAATGTTGTAAGTGGAAACGAATTTTAAGTGGATTTGGAATTTCTTAAGCGAAGTCTAAGTATAATAGTGTCAAGCTGTAATTCCGACGTACAATTGTCTATAAGCGCTATTTTGTCTGGTTTGGTATCCGTGTAACACTTCTTACAACATGTATACATCAATGTAACAGTTGTGACGGTGGTGAAAAAACAAAGGATCACGAATTTAATTACTTTTTTTCTCGAGATATAGTGAATAATGATAGAATTTTAGGATCATTTTAATGACTCTAGCGTGCAGATTTGTTTAACATGATTTGAGTTAGTTCAACGCCCCATGAGGCCATATTTCTTTCTTGCGCAACCAAAATCCTGTTTACCTTCAATTTCTGGTTTCCGATTTTTCTGCATTGTACTACTTGAAATGCAGCTTTATGATGTTTGGATTTTAGCATCAAGGGGGATCGCATAACCTCCACCTACTTATAATTTAACTAGATTTCTTTTTTTCCTTCCCTCTTTTTTGGTAATTGCTGCTTACATAAAAGATCTTTATACTCTTAGTTTATTTATCGGTTCTTTATCTTCAGGCACGACTTCGTTTGTTCTTCCGTAGTTTATCTTGGTGCTAATTGTACTTTTAACTATCGTAATACCGTCGCAAAGTCGTTGGTATTTTTCCGGTCCTTTATACAATGGCTCCAAACTCTTTCATAACACCTGGGGGTCTGCAACAAAGGCCCGAAGTAAATATAAATGAGTCACCGCAAACGGACACTTTATCGTCAAATTATTTCACACAGAGTTGGTCAGAATGGACATCGCTAGTATCTCAGCAAAAACCACAAATACCTAAGCCACCGACTGATTCGCTAAAACTTCAACAGTATATCATCAATAGTAATGGCTGGTGGCCAGTATTTGGTGGTGAACCAAAGCTAAAAAGAAAATGTGACTCTACGACTTCGGCTTTTGTTGTTTCGCCAATGTCTAGACAAACACCCGTTAGTTTGGTCCCTTCTGAATTCTCCAAACGACGAAAAATACATAATTGCCCTCATTTCTCGTCTCAATTTTCATGTAAAAATTATCTCGCAGTCGAATGGGATCCTGAAGAAAACGAGTTTCGTACCGCTGAACCACCCAGGACTACGACTTCTGCGTTACCGCAAGAAAACTTTGCTGCAGTCACCAGTAGAATATTGTTGGTTCGAAGATTGAAAGCAAAACAAGGAAATATGTTAAAGGGTGATGCTGCTTCAAGGTTTCGTAAAAATATCTTGGTGAAAGTGGCTCAAGGTACTTGAATGTGGGGGTCAATATTTTATTTATTTTAAATATGTTGATCGGCAAAAAAATTTTTTTTAAATATTTACAATATATTCATAATCAAAGCCTAAACCTTTTCTTTCCACTTAATAGGTGGTGTTACTTATGGTGATATAAACACAGTGATTGAAAGTCCAGCAAATGATGCTGATGTTATAATCAAACGACCTTGGAGAGATGGCACAACAGAGCCGGGGGAAGGTACTTTTGAAGAATTAAAAAGCTTACGGCATAGACGTGCTAGTGAATTAAATTTGCGAAGAACCTGTATGTCTTATCGTAATATTTGTTAGTCTTTTTAAACATTTAATTTAAAAGGCTTTTTAGACATTCGTTACATTAGTGATTTGGGGTTTTTTTTCTAGTAAATTATTTGTATATATCTTTGATTATTAGTGAATTCAATTTTTACCTTTACAATTTTCATTTGGCCTTTGTGCTTAGTTTTTACATCATAAAAATAGAATCATTGGATTGTTTTTTTTTTTTTTTTTTTTTATCTTTTTTTTTCCTGTTCTGTTGCTCAAGTATAATTGATCCCATAATTGATATTTAATATCAGGCCAAATCTTTCCAAATGCGACATCGGCTCACGAGCTTTTAGAACAAGCTCGTGAATATTTTCGTGTTCACAAAGGTAACTTGAATACACAAAATTCGTTGTATACAAATTGTTCGATAATGCGCCGAATTTCTACGACGAAATCCCTGACTCGCTCGCTCCAACAATCATTAAATGTGTGTTGTCATCAGGAAAGAATCGGATTATATTCATCCCACCTCATATAAGGGGTCTCTTTCCGACTTTAGTTGGTGGATTGTCTTCGCCACCGCTTCCCTCGGCGAACAGAAGAGGAACCTCTCTGGTGATTGGAAAATTTGAAGGTTCTTGTCAAACAAAAATTAACTGTAACTTATTTTCCCACTACATAAAATTATTCCCTCTTTCTAATTTTTGATATGTCATTGGCATATAATCTGTACCAATAATCAATTGCATTTCTTTTTTGTATATAGGATACGTTCGTAAAAAATTATGTTTAATTATAAAAATATGGGTGAATTATTATGGAATGAAATCACCAAGAATCACCCGCGAATTTTTTTTAAAAAAATTTTTTGTATATAGGTGTTCGAGCTTTTTATAATTAAAAAAAAAAGGGGTTGGTTTGCATCGATGTTAGAATAATTAATCCATTATTGTTCTTTTTCACCGGTACCTTTTTTCCTCGTCTTTTACAAACCATTTCTCTCTTCATTTTGTGATTTTATGCTTATTAAGATATCGAAACTTTGGTGATATGCGAATGTGAATGTCAGATGTACCAATCAAATCACGATGACATATTACAGAACACAACATATACATTTAATTCGTTCTCGTGAAATTTCAGGCGCAATTTTGAGCCAGATTTCGTCATTCGCAATAAAGATGCCTTTTTTGTTAATAACTCGGCGTGTGACACTAAGTCCACGCTCCATTCGGATTACCCGAAGGTAGAATTGGAGCAGGAGATGTGATGCTAAATCTTCGCACTCAGTATTCTAATCTACTCAAGGGATCATTCGGCAGCGCCTACTGATTTAATAATGAATAATTAAAGCAATTGTTGTTAACAGATCACTTTGCTATACCATACGTTTAAGCAAAATGGGCGTATTAGTACGTCAAACGAAATGACCAGGTTTAGATACCCAATGAGAGGCAATCGCGTGATTTTACTTAAAATTCTCAATTTGTGGGGATTAATTTGAGGCCCTAAACCTACATATTAAATTTCAAAACCTGCACCTAACTCTTAAATCTAAGTATACAAAGTTTTAAAGTTGCAAAGTTATATAATTAGAAATTAGGCGATACAATAAAGTAAATTTATATCTGCCCAGCTTGGAATCTAAAAATTTTTTTTTTTGAATCTTAAGGTGAGGCCATGCCTCTAACTTTATTGAAACTCAATTGAACTTCTTTGCAAGAGAATTTACAAGAAAGAAATTACATATGAACTTGGATGCAAGACTAGAGACTCGGACAAAATTTTCTGCGGCATAAACCTAGGAATCTAAAATGCTGCAATTTTGATTGGTTAGTAAATGTGATTATATATGATGTGATCATATGGGAGGTGACTATATGGAAGGACGACTAATCATTATAATCCAAAACCTGCCACTTTACTAATAAACTTATAAAGATACCCCTTTATAAGCACATCATGGTAAAAATCTTTATGATCACACAATTTGACTGCGTTATTTTAGAGGAAATAATAGTCAATTTTATGTAACAGCACATATCTGATATGGAATAATCTACAATCATCCAATCGTATGAATGCATATAGTCAAAACGATTCGCTTTTCAGAACCAATGGTTAAGGTCCACGTTTGTCTGGTAATATTTCATATTTTTTATATAATTATGTAATTAACACTACGCGATAAAGCCTTTTCTTTCATTCGTTCGTGGTCATAATGCGATGTTTATTGTTCATTTTTACCTTCGTGCTTCTAGTGAGCGTTTTTCGCGTAGAACCAAAATCAACGACAGGTAGTCGCGTACTGGTTTTACTAGATAAGGAGGATGACAAGACACTATATAGTAAATTTTTCAACTCTTTAGAAGGTTGGTAATGTCCCTCGAAATTTATTATTTAAATTAAATTCAATATTTTTATTGGTTAAATTCCTTAATATACAAATTATTAAACGTTAACTCTAGAGCGAGAATATAAACTAACATATAAGACGCCTGTGGATTCTACTGTGGACCTATTTTCCTTCGGAGAACGAGCATATGACCACGTTATTAATTTTGCGCCAAAGACAAAAAGTGATTGTTTGAATCTGAAGTACATAAATGCATTTAATTTTGAAATTATATTCTAATATGAATTTTATTTAAAAAAAAAAAGCCTATAAGGATAAGGTAAACCCCCTTTCTCTTCTCAACTTCGTAAATAAAGGAGGCAATATACTTCTAGGAGCTTCTTCAGAACTTTCAGAAACTATCCGCGATTTTGCTCGAGAATTTGATATTGATTTTGATGATATAGACACATCTGTAATAGATCATTTCAATTATGACATGTCTGACGATGGAAAGCATACACTTATAGTTGCGAGTGGCATAACGAACAATGAAGCTATTTTAACAAAAAATGTGATTAAGGGGCCACCAATACTTTTTAGGGGCATAGCACATAAAGTTGGGACAGTACCATTGTTAACTAAAATATTATGGGCCGACGAAACCGCTTATTCATATGAGACTAAAGCGGATCAGCAGGTTGATCAAGAACCATTAGTCGTAGGAAATAAAATTATGCTTGTATCAGCTTTGCAAGCAAGAAACAATGCAAGAGTTACGTTTGTTGGGAGCATAGAGTTGTTCAGTGATAGGTGAAATTTTGGTTTATACATTGATTTTGTGATGTAAGTAAACGCATGCTGTATTAAATTCGACTAAGTGATTTAAATGTCTAGATTTTTCGATTCATCCATCCAGAGGACCAATCCTGCAGAATCGTAAGCATTGTTTTAATTATACTCAAATTATCAAATTACGTAGTCTTGTTTTAATGCTAATTATAAATAAATTTACAGATTTCCAAAATCTGGTAATGAGAACTTTGCCAAAGATTTGACAAAGTGGACTTTTCAAGAACAAGGAGTCCTCAAAGTCACTTCTAGTCGTCATCATAAGAAAGGCGAAGACGAAGAGTTAGAAGTTTATCGTATTAAGGATTACATTGTAAGAGTAAATTTGTTGTGTTGTTTACTTCGTACAAATAACCGACCATTCTTCTGGTTTGTTTAGACCTATACCATTGAAATTTCTGAATATGTAAATGATCATTGGCAACCTTTTAATGGTACCGATGTACAATTTGAAGCCATAATGTTGGATCCCTACATTAGAAAAACTCTTACGCCATTTCCCACTTCCCCAGAACAACAATCACGAAAATATGAAGCGCACATTCAATTACCGGATGTTTATGGTGTATTCACGTTTAAGGTTAATTACAAACGATCTGGTTATTCATATATCGAGGATTCAACTGTTGTAGCAATTAGACCCTTCAGACATAATGAATATCCAAGATATATATCTGCTGCATATCCTTATTATACAGGAGCTGCATCAATGATAATTGGTTTCTTATTATTTTCAGCTGTTTGGTTTTTCAATAGGGAAAATAGAGTAAAAAAGAAGACGAGCTAAGATAGTAATTGAGCTGGGTTAACTTATTGTTATTGAGGTATCTTAATGCCTTGAAATTAATATTATTTATAATAAAAAAAAAAGTCATCCCTATCGACTACATAGAGTAAGTGATCATGTAAATCCACACAAAAAAAGAGTTCATTATTTTTATTCAGTCTAATACATCTAGTCATCAATATGGTTTTGTCAATTGTTGCATTAATAGATTGATCATTAAAAGATTAGTTACAAATTATAATTTACATAATGTTTATAAATCATTGTTCATGGTTTACACCATTGCTTTTGATCCAAAATTGAAATTGCAGCACCAAGACACCATCCAGTTTCAATTCCCTTTATCTTTTTAGCCATTTTAACCTCTCTTTCTAGTGGAATTTCGTACCCAATATGCAATAATCCATAGATAAATGATAAATCCATACAATAATGAGGATTCTTTCGAAGTTCTTTCATCGCCTCCGGTAAATGCTCGAATTGATTAATATTTCCAGCGCACACATCATCGGTCAGATCCCGGAGCTCTTTAATAGAGAATTCGGACGGCATACCTAACGGACTAACTCGATCATAGAAATATGAAAATATGCATATTTCATTGTTCGAAAACGTTTCGCTGATAGGTGGCTGATATACACCATTAAACGAGCAAGGTGATAAAGAGCATGTTTCCGTTTTATTAAGCACCTGTTCTATGATGAATCGACACTGAGCATGTCCAGCACCAGTTCCAATAAGCGTGGTAGTATCCTCATCAGATAAATTGGGCAATGACCATGTTTCGGTGTAATTTTTAGGGAAGCAGGGATGAGGAACGTGATCTTTTGAAGGAATATGTTCGGAATCAACGTCTATAGAATCAATCTTTTGGTCACGCCACATATTAACCGCAAAATTCTTAATTGCTTTCCTTGCCTCCATTAGCCCATAATGCAAATATGAGTGTTGATAAAGAACATATTTGTGACCCCCATATTCTAATTCGTATTTGTGTTCACCGTCTGCAACTTCCTCACCAACTGTCATCTCCGGTTCAAATACTATTTGCGTTGACCCGCCACCAAGATCAAATATCGCAGCAGTTTGCAATTTTTCTAGTGATCCAATTTTTTCCAATAAATAGTTGACAGTAATCCATGCATATACGCCTACAAAATTCAGATACAAAAAGTATTAATGAATATCCAAAGTCGAAAGTCAGATATTCAAAAAAAAAAAATGAAAAGCATACCTTCATCTTTACCATCCATGATTACAACACCGTCCTCTTCAATAATGGGAAAAGGGTAATTTGTTTCTAAATGGTAATGAACAGCCTTCAAAATAAGTGCACTCTTTTCTTGACCCAACAAACGTAATCCTGCCGTTGCCTTAACAGCAATTGGTGTACAATGCTGTAATTCCTCAGGAACATTATCCAAAGCTACCTTTAACAACTCATCTAGACTTCTTGCAGCTGCGTCAGCGTCGTCGGGGTAAGCGGAGAGACCTGGTTGAATATGATGAAATACTTCATCCTCTAATTCAGGAGACGCTTTACAATAATTAAATTTATACACATGAATACGAGATCCAGTAGACCCGGCGTCAAGCATCAGCGCATACTGGATTAATTGACGTCCTGGATGTGCAACAGTACAATGAGGAGACGTGATCTTTGAAATGTCAGTCTCCTGAACGGGTATGTTATGGTCTGATATTTTGTTAATATAACAAATTCTGATTG